GTTGACTGCGGTCTAGCAACACCGCCCAAGCACTGGGAAGAGACAAAATGAAGAATATAAATGTGTATCACTGAGATACTATTAAAGTTTCAATTACTATTTTGAATCGGTTTTGGTTTTAATAGTTTATTTATATTTTAATTTTAAAGTTTTAGTAATTCTGTTGTGTTTAGTCATTTTTATGAGCATTCTTTTAAAGGTCTATATAGTTTTATTAATTTTTATTTTAGTACATCAAGTGAAAAAAATGAGAAATGCTGCCATGGCAACTAGCTGAAATAAATAAAATAAGAATTTTAGTTTTTCTAGATTTTATTTCAGTTAACATTTAATTTAAGTAACAAAAATGTCTTTTAGTTTAGATGGTTTTAGTTTCAGTTAACTATAATAAATAGAGATGTAACGTATCACTCAAGTCACAATTCGATTCACGATTTATTTTAACAAAATGAGATTTAAGACAAATTATAAATTAAATGTGTCCTTTTATTATTGCTTGGACAAAATGCTGCACGTTTCTACGTGAAATTGAAATATAACACTATAATAATATACTAATATAGCACTTGCATTTTACTGCTCTTTTGTTGGTTTTGATTGCTTCTATTGTCCTCATTTGTAAGTCGCTTTGGATAAAAGCGTCTGCTAAATAACAACATTTTAATATAATGTGAATGTAAATAACAAAACTTAATTGAAATTTTAAAACAAGCCCCAAATCAAATAAATAACACAAATAAAATAAATCTCTTCATATAAACAAATTAAGGCTTTGTCTGTGCTCTTTCCATTTAAAATGAGAGGCAACCACTGCATTTTAATCATGATCCAAACAAAGATGCTGCATACATGCAACACGAGCAGTTTTTAATCTAAATTAGATTGTATAATTTCGAAATTTGAAGCAAAAACAGAATGATTTGACTTCAGTTGTGTGAAACTACATAAAAATATCTGAATGAAACAGAAACAGCGGACGAGCTGAATGAGACGCAGATTCACTCTCTGCCTGCAGGTGGATGCTGCCTTGTTGAAAATAGAAAACAGTTATTTTAAATTGTAATAATATTCTAAAATATTACTGTTTTTATATTTATTTTGTTAAATAAATGTACCCTTGGTGAGCACAAGAGAATTCTTTCAAAAATTCCAAAAAAAGTTAAAAAAAAAACCCCCCCCCAAAAAAAAAAAAAAAAAAAAAAAAAAAAAAGTGTCTCACACGGCTCCGGGGGGTTAACAAAGGCCTCCTGTAGCGAATGTAACGCCGTAAGGGGCGTAACATTTCCGTCACACGCTTGAGGTATTCGGCCAATCACAACGCACTGGATAGCTGGCCAATCAGAGCACACCTCACTTTTCAGACCGATGAGCTTTGTAAAAATCGACGTGTTTCAGAAAGGCAGGGCATAGAGGAGAAACAATAATGTACAGTATGTGGAAAATAATGTGTTTTTTAACCCTTCATTACACCAAATATAATAAATGAACATTATTTTGTGTATGACCCCTTTAAACTAGTTTAAAGCCGGGTGAAATAGCGCTGACAAACATGAGAAACACTGTGAGCAACGATACAGTCAGAAGACTTTAAATCTACAAATCGCCATCATTTACCATGCAGTAACACTAATATTGTGGCAGAAATGTGGGATATTCATATAAAATTTTATTATATTATTAATGTAGACATGTATTAAAGGAGTAATGGAATATAATTACAGTATTTTTTGTGATTAAGCTATAGCATTTGTGAATTTATACTAAATGCATTTAGACTACTGCTTTTCATACAAATACCTAGAAACCATACGGTTACATTTTTACCATGGTATTGAGGTGCTATGTGTGGTTTTAACTGTGATCTCATGATCTAAATACATGCTACTATGGAAGAACAATGGTTAAATTGAGTAAAACAAATATAATTAAATTTCACCATATACAAAAGAGTTTTTGATAATGAACATAAATGTACATATGCATCTCAAGCTGCTGTCAAATGTGCATTTCTAAAAGAAATAATGTAATAGGGTCAAAGACGTTAAGATGTCCGCATTAAAATACATTTACAAAAGTGATTTTATGTCCATAGAAAGCACATTAAATGTAAGTAAAGTGTCTACTTTTAAGGTTTCAAATTAGTTTTTGGAGAATAAAATGTCAAAATTTGGTTGAAATAATGTTACATTGTCATTCAGTGTAACACAATATTTATGTAAAAATTCAAACAACATACTTATTCTGACCTGTACATATTAAAATACAGTATATAAAAGAATAAGGGAGCATATAAAATGTTATTGTTTTAAAAGAGTAAAAAATTCTTACTGACAAACAGTGTTGGGCAAGTTACTCTGAAAATGTAATCAAATTACTGATTACTCCTTTTAAAAGTAATTAGGGATGCTGGTATCGGGCCCGATACTGGTCTCCTGTACTCGTACTCGTTAAAATGCCCCGATACCAAACGCCGATACCACACAGCATGTGATAAGCGCCATATTCAAACAAAGAACACCAACAACAGAACAACAGACAGCAGAAAGGAGTTAAGGATGTCTACTACGAAGTATATTTATGCAATGAATATAATGTTAAACATTCAGTATTAATGCCTGTATCGCTGATGTCAGTGAGCTGATAAACAAAGCACGCTGAGTGGATTGAGCGCGCGGCGGCGCAGATGCGCGCATCATTTGGATTAAAACGAAATCGTAAAAATAAAACCATTTATAGGGGCATTCACTATAAACAATTTATTTTCAACCTTAGGCATACACGACTTTCTGGCGAAAGTGAATCTAGCAGCCTGTGTGAAATGCGCTGGTCTGTACTACTGTCCTCTCATTCCGCATCAGTACAAATACGTGCACGCATTGCGCGTGTTTTGCTTGCTTCATGAGTGTTTCTGCATTATATGAGTGGCTTTGGAATATAAATCGCAGCACGTTTCAGATGAAAAAAACGCGACTTCTATTTCTGAAAATATCATAGTTAGGAGATTTATAACGAGTGGTTCCCTGCATTATTACAGCAAAGCGCATGATTACAGTATACTAAGCCGCTGCAATGGAGCAGCTCTAATGTTATTAAATTAAAGATGATGTACCATAGAGCAAAAAGATTAACAGTGAAAGTAACAAAAATTTGTAAAATACATTTTAATGGGCATAATGAAGTGTGAAAATAACCGAAGGATATACAGTGAAACCAAAAATGATTCAGAGACCAGATATAATTTTTGATTTTTTTTTACTAGTGGGTGCAGGACACTATAGTTCATTTATGTAAGTGAGGATAGCAAAATAAAGTAAACTGTGACAAATCATACCCAAAAATTCTTCATACATAAATATTTGCTATTAAAGCATCAACATTCACAGAACACTGTTATTTTTAACTAAAGCAAGCGGCTGCTGCGTGCATGGTTGGGCAGAATACCAGCAAAGAGCGCTGCATTTATAATCTCTAAAAGACATCTCAGTTCATCGCAATCTCACAAATCTCTGTTATAACACAATAAATATATGCATAATGAATCGTTCATAATGTCTACAATTCGTGTGTTATAATGAGAGGATTCGTGAGCACGCACATTTCAGCACTGCATTGCTTAACGCAGCGAACACGTGTTATAGCCTAAATAGAAACTGCATACGCTTGCACCTGTTAATCGTTTATATTTTATATTAGTTCATTTTGTTTTTGTGCAATAGATGAATAACAATTTATTTGTTTTAGATATTTTATGTTTAGATATTTCTATTTTGCGGGAGTCCCGTGAATCATTATATTCTCCCGCATCCCGCGCACACACACGAGTCTCTACACTCTCCTATCAAGTCTTGTCCCGTGCCGCGCTCTGTTGCGTCGGGTCTCGCGGGAGCAGGTCTCTAATCCACTGGCACTGGACTACACAGTGCGTGTGGTACATCCTTTTTACAATCTATATTATAAAACACTGCATTCTGTCAGCAATGTAACGCGGTAGTAACGTATAGAGACCTCGGCTTGTAACTATACTCCAATTACTATTTTGAAAATTATAACACGTTAAATTACTCCGTTACTAAAAAAGTAATCAAATTACAGTAACGCGTTACTAAGTAATGCGTTACTGCCCAACACTGCTGACAAATGGGCAAAACCTAGGATAGTGGCAAATTTTAAAAATGTAAAATTACAACTAATTAATATTTGGGGTGAAAGTAATTAGTCTTTTAATGTCATAAATTGATTTTTGTTGTAAATATGCCTGACAAGACTGTTACACTGAATGACATTTTAGTGGGTCTCTTCTGTAAATCAGGGAAAAATTTATGATATTTATTTTTTGCTCAGAAAAACAAAAACAAAATTGCTATTAAATTAAACAGAAATTGTTTTAATTGTTTTGGGGGGAAAAAAACAACAATTTAAAACAGTATTACACTTATTGTTTTTATGCTTAAACCCGTTTTCGTCTTTGACCCAATATTATTAATATTGCAGGCTGCACTGCAAACTGTGCTGAAGATACGCATCAAAGTCAGGCAACACAAACCTGTTTCATGATTTGAAACAATACCACTCATTAGAACATGCAGATTCTAAGAAACACATTTTTTTATTAAGATATTTGTTTTATTAAGGAAAAACGACTGGAAAGATTTGAAAAGTGTAAAGTGTTTGTCATGTACGTTCACTTAGGAGCAAAAATCTGCCTTTAAACTTGAAGGAAATAAATATTTGACACGTATCGTGACAATTATCGAAATAGACTGATATGAAAAATTTTATCATGATAATTTTTTTGGCCATATCGCCCAGCCCTACTTTAAAGCAATTACTTCCTGTTACTTACAATTTGCCGTCTCTTGTCCATCCAGCTCTTGCGATGTACTCAACCCCAGGAAAGAGCGTGGTAAACGGGAGAACAAGCTCTTTGTTTTGTGCGCTAATAATCTACAAAAAGAATAAGAGAACATTATAAAGCCTTCCTACCAGGCATAGAGAAAGAAAAAGTGAGCCTGGGCACAGGCACCTACCTTGCCGTGTTGGTCGGTCTGAATCTCTGCTAGTTTCAGGCTAATTTGAGGGTTCTTACTTCCTACAAGCATCGAGAAGGGTTCATTAGCATTAACACAACTCCATTGACAAAATATTGCTAATATACAAAACAATACAAAGAATCAAAGAGCTGTACTCTTTAAGAATACATTTATGAATTGCGTTTATGCCATAATTTCTGGCTTCAGTTACACTTAATGATTCTGGTAATAACAAAGTACTACTGAGGAAGTTGAGGGGAGATGGACATTATGACTTGCAGCCCATTAAGTCAGCAGCCTCTTTGATCGATTCTGTTAATCAGTTAATCTGGGAGTCATTTGTTCACAAAACAGACTACACTGGTTCCACTGTATGTCGTTTTGTTCAACCGGCGAGGCCAGTGCAATATAAAGACGGGCTGTCTAGAACTACCGTCTTTCACACAAGCCAGTCTCATCACATCCAGTTCAGACGGCAAGCTCACAACTGTGCTAAAACAGCACA